GCGAGCCCCGGCTGTGATGTGGCAGTGACCAAACCCTCGCTTGCTTATGTGCTGCCGAGCCTCCACCCTTCCCGAGCCTCCGAAGGGTACGGGGAGCTCTGCACCTACTCCCCCAAACGCTGCCAACCCCTCCAGCCCTGGTGGCCCGCGGCCAGCCCTCACCACGGGAACCAGGGCCACAACATTGCCATGTTAGGAGGCAGCTGTGCTCCCCCGGCACAGGCTGCGCCGCTGAGCCCCGGCCAGGGGAGCAGATGTGGGAACTGGCTGTGCCCCATTCTCAGGATGGAAACCGAATGGATTTTCCTCCCCCACCCCCAGCAGCAATCACTTTTTCTGTTTGGTTTTAGCCAAACCAGAGAAAAACGTTTCATGATGCAAGTAACATGAGCCGCGAGCCCTGTTCCCAAACTCGAGGCGAGCTCCCCGGCCAGGTCCTGCCTGCAGGATCGTGGCCCTCTGACAGCCCTGTGCCCTCTGCAGGGTTGGGGCCCCAAAACGGCCCTTCCCCAGGCTCGGATGGACTCTCCCAGCTACAGCCAGAGCCAGGCTCAGCCAAGACGAAGCAGGCATGGGAGCACAATTAGGGATACAGCCACTGAACCCGCTTGGCAAGCCACACATTGCTGCACTCGCTCCAGCACCAGCAACTCCGTGCAGCGCGAGGCCATTGCCGCAGAGCTGGAGCATTCCTGGGGCTTGGCCACACGCTGCCGGCAAGTTACAGGAATTACTGCAACTTGTTTTGCAGGGCCCAGGAGTGGTGGGAAGGGATGCGACACTCAGTTTTCCTGCTAAGGGTGACACTGCACAGCCCCAAACTGACACCTCCTCCTGCACTGAGGCCAGCCGGTCCCTGCGGAGAGCTCGTCGGACCAGCTGCACAGCTGGGCTGAGCCAGCCAAGAGCTGCCTCTCGCCAAAGGACGTGTGCTGCCTGCAGAGTGGCCCTGCGTGAGTGGCCTTGCTCAGCCGCACTGCAGGGTCCCCGCTGGCACTGTCAGCGGTGGCCCCGGGACCCCTGGGGCTGCTCTGCAGGGCCATGCTATGCAGCACTGCCCCAGGATCCCTCCAGGATCCCACAGGGCCCATGGAGAGGAGCCGCAGGAAGCCTAGGAAGAACACCGACATCAGCCAAAGGGGCTCACGGTATCCGAGCCGGAGTAAACTGCAGCCCGTGAGGCCTGGCCGCTGCTCTCGACGAATGCACCAGAGCCCAAGGTGATGGGGCTGGGCGCACATCTGGGGCTGGGCGCAGCCAGCACCAAAGCTGACTCTCTAGGGCTGCACTGCCGCCCACAAATGTATCCTGTGCTGGCAGCTCCCAGTCCTCACCCTGGCCACCCCACAGCACCATCCCAGGCCCTGCACCTCTCGGAGGCGCTGGGAGAGGCAAAGGGCCACACTGCCCACCCGGAGCCCCACGCCGCACCAGCGCGGCACCATCTGCCCCCTGTCAGGGAGCAGCCCACAGCCACAGGGAGCACAGGCACCGTGCTCAGCCCATGGGACGCACACAGCCGCTCTAACTCTGCTACCGTCCCCAGAAAACACGCCAGGCAGCGAGATGGGCCTGTCCTGCATGCATCCTGCCTGTGCTGGGCAGGCCCTGGGAGCTGCCGTTCGCTCTGCTCAGTGAGCCGAGCTGTTACCTTTTCAAGTGCTCCAGCAGGAAGAGGAAAGTGATGAGATTGGGGTCAGGCAGCGAGCGGAGAAGGTGCATCATGCAGTTCTCCTTGGCAGCAGGATCTGAGAGGGCTGACGACAAGGAGAGAGAGCTCAGAACGAGTTGCCAAAACTCTGCATCTTGGGTCACCGGACCATTAAACAGGCGCACACGAGCAGCTGGATGTCAGAGGGTGGGGGAGGCAATACCAGCAAGTCTTGCACTAAACCCACTGCCAGGACCGGTCCCAGGATGTCCCAAGGGGTGCCCAGCCTCCAGCAATGGTGCTGGCAAGGGTGCCTGTCCCAGATAGTTGGGTGGCACCTCCGAAGCAGTGGGACCCGCCATGGGTGGACTCCTCACTGCAGCCAACCCTGACCCGCAGGGCTCTGCCCAAACCCCCCAGGACCAACACCACGATCCCGATCCCAGGGCCAAGGACGGCCAGGACGCTGCCCAGCAGCCTGCCAAGCCTGCGCCATGCAGGGAAGGACCCTGCAGAGTCTCCAGCCTCAGAGTAGGTGGTGCCAAGCAGAGCTGTGCTTGGGCACCCAACCCTTGCTCATCCCCAAACACTTACCAATCCCCTCCATGAACGCGGGGTAGAGTCTGTCAGTGAGGAGAGGCTCAGGCAGCTCCCGGAAGTACAGCTTCAGCGTGCCAGCGATGGCATTGATGTCCATGTCGCTCAGCATCACAAGGATGTCCTTGTTATCTGTCCAGGGAGCACCCATGCATGACACCTTTGCCTCTGCTCTCAAACACCTGCAGCACCCCAGCTGATCCGAGCAGGCTCGCGGCTGGGGGAGCAGGGACAGCACAGCCAGCTCCGCAGTCGTCACCTGCTCGGGGCTGGCACTCAGAGACACACCAAGAACCCTCTGGATTTGCTGAGCCCCAGGAAAAGAGATGTGCAGACTACAAGGAGCATTAACCCAGCTCCTGTCCATGGCAGCGAGCAGCACTTAGCCACTGTGGGCACGGGAACCACCGAGCGGCTGCAGCGTGCCCAGGCAACGGCACGCGGAACAATTTGCAAATCCATTTGCAATGTTTCCCTGACTCAGTGTCTCCCCGGAGCTGGCCAGGCGTGGAGGCAAATCAAAGAGAGCAACGCACAAACACCACTGAAAATAGGTCAGGGCAAAGCAGGGCTGCCGGGAAGCCTCGCGGGGGCCGGAAGGGCAGGGGCGGCCACCCTTGCACTGGTGGGAGGCCAGCGCGCGAGCCCGGCAGGCCTGCTCCCCTCCCTGCCTCGTCGCCCCCGGGCGGCAATTCCGGCC